ATTTTTATCGTCACCTCACCCCCCCCCCCCCCCCAATTGAGCGGGACCCAGCTGGTGCCTTTTGGGAGCGTCACATTACGTCCTAATTTAGCTGGTCGAAGACCAGATTGCATAAACCAAGTACCAGGACAGCTTTCACACGTGATCGGACTTGCGCGACATACGAATAACGATATCGTCACATGACCTGCGATAATGACGCATTCATATCCTGTGGGGTTATTTTTTACCTATATTACAAAAGCCAAGTAGAGGGTAAGCACGTGATCTGATTTGCACACACGGACAACTAAGACGAGTAAAGCCCTCTAGGAAGCAATGTGTTTCTAGCTCAGGGGGTAGAGTGTCGGGCTGCTGTGCACAAGGTCGATTCCCAGCCGCCGCAGAGCCTTTTTTAGCGAATAAAAGTCGTTTACCGCGCAGCGATTCAATTAATGTCACGTGACCGTCATGTGAGCGTGGCGCAGCGCCCTCTTTCGGATTCAACACGAACCCTGTGTGACATCACGTGAGCTCCCTCTGCCGGACGCAACTCGAACCCTGGGAACACACGAACCCTGTGCGACATCATGTGAGCGTCCTCTGTCGGACGCAAGTGTAACCCGGAGAAAATCACGTGGTTAACATCACGTGATTGGAGCCGTGGTGACGACATCTCTGATACGTGTCATTCCCACGCTTCTGACACGCGCCGCGTACGTGACTGATAACATCGGCTGTTAACACCTGGTGATTAAAGGCTAAGTGTCGCTGACGTGGCACGCGCCGCGTACGTGACCTCACACCTATACCGCGTACGTGACTCGAGGGCGGGGGACCTCGATGAGCTCCGATTGGTCACTGGCTAATGCCCTATGGGCGGGGCCATCCATGCCAACGGCCTGTCATTGGTCACTGGAATTGGAGAGAGGTAAGGGGCCCCGCCCTATTGCTCTGTGATTGGTCGGGTTGGGCGTGGCCCCGCCCTGCTGCGTTGTGATTGGTCGGATCGGGTTTGGCTCCGCCCTCCTGGGCTTTGAGCATGTGACAGTAATGGGGTTCGTGGCAACGAGGCTACGAGGCCGCGAACACCGCTTGAATCGCGCGCGCGAAATCACGTGATAGGAAGACGAGCAACATCACACGACCATGGACACATGACCTGCGGCAATGACGCATCCTGGTTTTAACCGTATTACAAAAGCCAAGTAGCGCGCGGGACACCATGCGATCTGAATTGCACCCACACACACGAACAACTAAGACGACTTAAAGGGGCGGTGCAACAATTTGCGGACTTTGGCTAATTAATAGCGAGAATTGATCCCGGCCACATATAAAACGAAGGACCGAAAACTATTCTTTTTTGCTTGCCCTAGTTTTCATTAAAAAAAATAAAAGAAATTGGTATCTCTGGCACCCCTCAACTCAACATTGAAGCGGCACCAGCTTCGCCTGTGACGTCATTAGGAGTGGCGTTGGTTTCCGGTTGGGTTCTTCTGGCTTCCGTTACCCCAGCGCTCGCAGGCACGCCAGGTCTCGCCGCTCTCCCGCTCTCCCGCCGATTCCCGACCAACATGGCGGCATGGGCGGACGGCCTGAGCGACGTCGAGCGCCAGATGCTTGCGTATAGTAAGTCAGTTGGACTTGTGCGGCGGGCAGTCGACGCGGCGGGCAGTCGAAGTCGAGGTCAAAACACCAGGAACAATAACGAAACTACGGACCACGACCAACGCACTCCGTCGAGCGAGGGAAAGACAAAACGTCCGGGTTGCTCGTGTAGCCGCCGTAGGCGCCTCGGGCGTCGACGGATGACGGCGACGGCAGGTTTGGTTAACTTGCAGTAGATGGCACCACAAATCTTTTTTACGGCAATATTAGGCTTTTGAAGCGTTTCTGCATGCCTAAACAAGATTTTTTAAACTTAACCTTAAATCAAACTTACAATTGCCTAACACTGTCACTTACAAAAACCACTCCGAATGACGTCACACCACAGGTTCCGTTTGCGGCCACCATGTGGCCGCAGGTTGTGAAAAAAAGTGTTTTTCATTTTGCGATTACGCAGCGAAATTGAGGTATTTTAGGGTGTGATGGCACTTTTTCTCTTACTTATGCCGATGTAAACAATATAAAAAATACAAGCTGCACATTCGTTCAGTGTTAAAATCATTGCACCGCCCCTTTAAGCGGTCTCGGAAGCAATGTGCTCGTAGCTCAGGTGGTAGAGTGTCGCGTGCTGTGCACGAAGTAGCGAGTTCGATTCCCAGCCGGCTGCTGAGCCTTTTTTATCGAATAAAAGGGGCAGTTACCGCGCAACGATTCAAATTCAAAACACGTGACCGTCATGTGACCGGAGCGCAGCGCCCCCTGTTGGATGCAGCACGAACCCTGTGTGACATCACGTGAGCGCCCTCTGTCGGACGCAGCTCGAATCCGAGCCCGCCGCAATCTCGAACCCTGTGACATCACACGTGAGACGCCCTGAGCACCGCAATTCAAGTCCTATAGCGCCCTCTGTCGAACGAATCTCGGGCCCTGTGACATTACGTGATTGTTATCAGATGATGACCGCAGCTGTCAACACCTGGTCAACCACGCTTGTGGTTGTGGTTGACCAGAGGTCTGAGGTTTGAGGTCACACAGGTTTGAGGTTAATCGGAGCGCGCCCGGGCGGAAGCCGGGCGCGCTCCGATTGGTGACTGCCTATGCCCTGTCATTGGTCCGTGGGATGGGAGAGAGGGAAGAGGCCCCGCTCTGCGGCTCTGTGATTGGTCGGGGCTGGCCCCGCCCCCTTGGGACCTTTATTGACAGTTGGCCGAACTGGTACATGTTTCCTACTACTCAAGAGAAAACCTAGGGTAGCCCCTAAGCTTCATGCATCGACTATTTGCCTAATATGCGATGAGAAATTGGACCGCCTGCAACGGTGCGACGACCCAGGAAGCCCCACTCAAGGCGCGGTAACGCCATCACCGGCTGTCACAAAACTGAAGAAAACGCAGGAAGGATCCAGGACGCCCCGATCAAGACGCCACGTCGGCATGAAAGATCCCAGACCAGGAGCTAAGCACCCAAGATGGCCCCAATCGCCAACGTCTTCGAATCCGAGCCCGCCGCAATCTTGCCGGAGGACACGCACGAAGACGACGCCGCTCCAGCTCCTCTGACGTCACGCGCCTCAGGAGATAGGGAAACCGAACGCACCGGAATGACACGTATCAGAGATGTCGTCACCACGGCTCCCTTCTCTCCTCGGTGCCGCGGCCTCTCCAACCTCTCCAACTCAGCGCGAGGACCGCTCCATCGCCATGCGTCCCGAGAGAACGATGAACGAGGTACCAGAGCCAAGCACAGATATCGGCCGAACATGTGGACCCCACATACTGACATCGAACAGTTTTCACTACCTCGGCCAAGGCGCCTCCGAAGAAGCCATCGAGATAACTGCGCCGACCAAACATACTTCGCTAGGTGAGCGTGAACCATCCAAGCGCGCACCTGCCGATTTCCTGACGCAGGACGGCTTCACGCTAGTAAGCCACCGCCAATCGCAAAGGGCAATCAAAGCCAGCCAAAATCAAACGGAGAGATTGCACGCCGTGCTTTTTCGACCCTCGCTGGCAAAAATACGATTAGAACCATCAAACAGAAGCAAAATCGCACAAGAAATCAGGAGCAGGTTCAACAGTTATGTCATCCCGAACATTCGCCTCAACCCTGCAAAAAACATCATAGCGGTTGACACACCTTACGTTGAAACCAGAGACAAGCTTCTACTCATTACCAAACTGGACCAAATTGAGGCCTATGCTTTTCCTGCCACCCGAGAAAATGCCTCCGTGGGAACGGTGCACCAAATAATCGGAGAACACTCCCTGCAAGCCGTTAGAACCATGCTACAGTCGAGACACACCATCCTGGACATCACCCGGAAAGGACAGGGCACATCGTTCTCGGTTGTCTTTCAGGGCCCAAATGTTCCTGACCACGTAACTTTGGGCTCACAATGGTACAGAGTTTACCCCAGCAGGGGACGTGAACCCAAACGCCAAGTGTCCTACAACTACGATCAGCAGTCCATCATAGAAGAGCCCCCGCTCGCTCCGACATCCCGGCAACAGTCACAGGAGGAAAACAACATACGAACGTGGAGTCCCACCTTTGCAGCAGCGCTGTGCGCCGGCCGACGCGATAAATCCACAGCTGCCACACAACCAAGGCTGCCCGCGGAGCGCGCCGCGCGCGACATCAGCGACAGTCCTTGGCGCAAGGACACCACAACAATCCAACGCCGAAGGGGAAGATCACTTTCCAAGCGTCAGTTTACTTGGATTTGGGGAGACAAGGACGCACCGGGGCAACCACCATCGTTGAGCAAGGGACACAGTCAGCACTCCAAGCGCAGCCGCCTACGCGGAAGTACGGCAGCCAAAAGACACAATACACGTGGAAAATCGGTGCCGTCATCTCACGAGCGGTCCCAACTGCGAAGAGAAATGACATGGGGCCGACACATCGAGCCCTTCGGCTTGCCGGAACCGCCCATCTGTGGAGCAAACTTCTCATCGCACCGCGACCTACTTTGTGGCGACGTGGACATGCGCCGAGCAGACTCAGTTCGACGGACAGCGGAGATCTGGCGGCGCGACGGAGGCGCCCGAGAAAAAAGCCGAAGTCGCTCCACAAACAGGTCCAACTTAAACGAACGAGACGTCTCCAAACAGAACAACGACGAAAGCAGACATCCGAGGATAACAACCGGCCTTCCCTTCAAAGCGGCAAGTGGTCCCTACCCGAGCCCCGAACACGCCTCCAAACAGGCCGACTCTAACTGGTCTTCCCCTAGGGTCTATCCGAGTGAGGGGGACCCGCCCTCCCCCACACCGAAACATCAGCCCTCCGCTGCTCCTCTTCCCCTGTTCCCCATACCCCCGAGAGCGGACGCGACGGGGGCGCTGCTAACACCACGGAAGGACGCTCCCGCTGCTGCGCATCCTCTCTTCTCCACCATCCCGAGTATGGCTGCAACCTCCGCGCCATCAACGCAATGCAAATGCGGATACACTAAAAATCAGAGCGAATTGACGCTGCAAAATTACCACCAACAGTGCAGAGTGACAGAAATGATTCTGCATCACAACCTAATTCCACTGGTAAGAGAACTACTCCAACAGCGTCTGTGGAGCCAGACCTTCGTGGAACGCCTACCATGGCGAACACCAACCCACAATCTAAGACGCAACCCGGGACGACCCGGGAGAGGGCGGCGTGGTTTCTGCAATAGATTTGCAGAACCTTTGCCTGCAAGAAGGCAGAGTTTCTTCTCCGCTACCCAACAGAAACAAGACCAGTAGTGCTGCTTCTGCAGGAGGCCCAGGATCCGAACCTCTCGCTGGCCGGCTACGACACGTATACGCGACCGACCATCCCGCATCGCCAACGAACGCCGAACGGTCCGGGCGGCAAAGCGCCGCCGCACAGCGTCAATTGCAGGGGCAACGCGGCGGTCCTAGTGGCTGCCCGCATCCCGCACGACGAGCTCGACCTCCCGCGCTTGTGCACGCAACATGAAGAGGTCGTGGGCGTGGCTCTCCAACTCCCCCAATGTAAGGTCGCGGTGGTGTCGATATACGTCCGACCGTCGACCCGCAACAGCCTCACCATCGACTGGTCCTGGGTCGAAAATCTGCGGAAAATGCACTCCGATGCCCTTGTCGTCATCGGCGGCGACTTCAACACACGCCACACGTGCTGGGTATCGAGGACCGACACACACCGCGGTTCGAACCTCGTTTGCGCAATGGTGTACAATCACCTTAGCCTGCTCAACGATCCGGACTTACCAACTCGAGTTGGCCAGTACGCCCGCCAGGGCGACACGACGACCGACCTCACATGGACGAACCGGCGGTGGGCCCTCTTCTGGGAACTAGGAGCAGACACGTGGGGGAGCGACCACCTGCCCATCTTCATTCGTTTGCGCGGCCACAAGATAACGGCGCCGAAACGAACTACGAGCGTCGTCTGCTGGGACGCCTTCCACGCAGAGCTGGAGCAAACACCCGTCACCAGATCAGGCGGTGACCCGGAAACGCACGGACTGGCCCACCTCCTACGCACAATACACGAAGCCAAAAGGTCATCTACCCAGCAATTTCAAGTGGCGGAGGACAAGCCGTCGCCAGACTTGCACCCGGCTAACCTATGGCAACAACGCCTCGACGCGCTGTGTGCGTACAGAGAGAGAGGTCGAACGCCCGGACTGCGATGTCGTCTGAGCCTTACAACGGCTGAGGCGCGCGATTACGCAAATACACTCTCTACAGACAGATGGTGCGACCTTTGCTCCAGCTTCAACGGTAACATTAGCGGACCGCGCAAGTAAAGAATGTCCCTCCCTGAGGGTCAGGTTGTTTTGTCCCGGTCCTTCCTAGAAGTCGTAGGCCAGGGCCGGGCGATCGTGGACAGCCGCGAAGGATGGTCGCTTCTTGCTCGTTGGTGGTGGCGGAGCCTCGAAGAAAGACGCTCAAAGTCGGGAGCAACAGTTAATAAAAGCAAATGTATTACAACGTCAACAGCAAACTCGGTTACAAACCTCTACTGTCCGCTCACGGCAGTAGAGATACAAAAAATACCGCGCCTCGGCGCAAAGTGCCCACCGCGCACGGTGAGGCTCAAAGAAACTGTTTGTCGCTCGCGACAAAGCTGCGCGGACCGGCGGACCGCGGGAGATAACTTGCTCCGCGCGCGGGCTTGTTCAAACTCAGCGTTTTCTCGCCAGCGCGGTCGAGAAAACTCCCCGCTGACACAGGGCCTGTCCAATCAGGACGATTATACAATTCTATTGGCCCCAGTGCCAGCGGGTCCTCCACCAATTACAGAAAGGCCACCGAACTCGTCATTTCCCTTTTCTAAGAAGAGAAACAATGCTAGACCACTGGGGGAACTCTCCGATCGGGGCGATACTTTACTACTTTACGGGGAAAACACCTTCCACTCCGCCGCGTCAAAACAAATTGGCGCCGTGTCCTTCGAAGTTAGCGAGTAAAGCGTAATGGAGTCCAGGTGGACCCAGACCGGCGCCCCTCGTCGCTAAAACCTTATTGCAGCAGTCCCCCGACTGCACAAGCCGTCGCTGGAAACGCGCCGTGACGACAAAGTCGCCACTACCTCGTGGCGACAGGCAAGAATGTCTGTCTCCTTCCCGAGCCAAAGATTAAAAAGGGCTCAAGCCACTCATCCCCCTACCCTCGGGGCGAGCCGTCGGGGTGCCCCCATCCGAACGGTTGAAGGTCGATTCACTCAGTTTCCAGGAAACGACAAAATTCTCAAGCGATCCCTACACGCCCACCCAGAAAACTGTGCCAGGACTTCTGGACTGGCCACCAGTTCTTATAACAGAACGATCGCGTCACAATTAAAAGAAATAGAAAAAGAAAAACGCTTCAACTCATGCGAAACCCCGTACGCAAAACGACGGCAACAGAACAACCACAAAACATGTACGCTAAAAAAATCCTGAGCATCAGCGTACTTTTGTAAAGCCGTCCCACTTGCGCCGAAAACAAACGCGCAAAAAGGATTACACCAAAAAAAAAGGTTCACAAAGGATATGCGACGCAGCACGAATCTCTGCCAAACACAACAGCTAACCGGTCGCAACCAGCAGCTTCCACAAGACAAACAAACAAACAAAAAAAAGCAAAAACAACATCGCATAAAGCATTCCAGGATCCCAATAGAAACCAAACAACCGGCCAAAACATGTGTCACAGTATTGTTCCGCAAGATGTTTCATGCAAATGTTCACATTGCCGTGGCAGTGATCGCCTTCCCACATGCACACCCACTGACACCACGTGCATAAGCGGGACAAAACGCTCCCCTGCCACCATACAATCGCCCCATTCTCGAACAGCTGTGTCGGGTGCCGTTGGAATTGCGATGCTCTCCAGAGCTTCCTATACGCCCTCGAAGGCGTGCCCGGCTCGGTCTCGACACGGAAATGTGCTTGGTGCTCGCTTCGCGGGCACCTTGGTCTAAACCAGCTCTGCCCCCCTGGCGCGCCATCTCGTTCCCAGCTCCGAGGTGGTCGCCCCACGGCGATTCGTGCGCCTGCACAGGCACCTCTCCGCGCCGCCCACTTGGTGGCACCTGTCGTGTCACACCGTCCCCACTAGGCCCGTCGTAGGGACACCGAAGTCCAATCTGAGCGGTTGCAGTAGCCGCCCTCGCGACCTCGGCATTCGCTAGTCTCCCCAGCGGCGTGCCCGACCCCTGGTTTTCCGGGAGCTCCCCCCTTCTAGCTGCCCGGACGCAGGAGAACCCTCGTTCGCGCGCGGCCCGATCGGCCTCGAACGTTACGGCAGTGTCTGGTCCCCGCACGGCACGATCGACCTCGGACTCCACGGCAGTGTCCGGGTCCTGGACAGCTCGACCGCCCTCGGACTCCACGACCGTCTCTGGCTCCCTGACAGCGCTACCGGCTTCGGACCCCCCTGCAGTGTCCTGTTCCTGGACAGTGCGGTCGGCCCCAGACCCCACAGCAGTCTCCGGTTCCTGGACAGCGCGATTAGCCTCGGAACCCCCGTCAGGGTTTGGTTCCTGGACAGCGCGGTCAGCCTCGGACCCTCCGGCAGTGTCCTGTTCCTCGACACCGCGGTCGGCCTCAGACCCCACCGCAGTCTCCGGTCCCTGTACGGTTCGATTGGCCTCGGAGCCCACCGCAGTCTCCGGCTCCTGGACAGCGCGATCATCCTCGGACTCCATGGCAGTCTCCGGCTTTTGTGCGGCACAATCGGCCTCGGACCCCATGGCAGCCTCCGGGTCGCCCAGTGCGTCCGGTTCCGTTTCGCTCACACAGTGAGCCTCGGGCTCCGCGCCCGCCGCTGCATTAATCAGCGACCCTTCTCGGCGCTCCTCCAGGAGCCGAGCTCTTGCTCTCCGCTCCTCCGCCCGGAGCTCTGCGAGTTGTATCTGCAGGTCTAGCTCCTTCGTTCTTTTCCTCACGAGGGCTATCTGAACACTCAGCGGAACCGCTTCCCCATCCGACCATTCGTCGTCTCCGTCACTGAGGCTCTCCCCAATGGGCCAGTTATACCTCGCCATGCAGCTAAGTGCGCGGGTGTCAGCCGGCGACGGAAGGGAAAACGACCACTTACCTGGCGGTGCTGTAGAGTCCGGGCAGTCGCATCGGATGTCGCCCAACCCGCAGGCCACTGGCGTTGATTGCAGCCGCTGACGTCCGCCGGCTTGAATCTTTTGTCGCCGTTGAAGGCCCCAGGCCCACGGCAGTTGTCGATGACGCCGAACCCGCAGGTCACCGGCGCCGATCGCCCACGCGACGTCCGCTTGCTTGATTTTCGTTCACCGCCGTCGCAGGCCCCAGGCCAAAGGTAGTCGTCGACGCCGCCAAACCCGCAGGTCACCGGCGCCGATCGCCCCACGCGACGTCCGCTTCTTGGCTTTCACCGCTTCCAGCCACCGGCGTACTCGTAGCCGTGCCTCGCTGTACCAGGCTGCTTGTGGACCGCTCCTCGTTGTCTCAGCTGGTCCTGGGCTCCTTCCGATGGACACCACAGCTTTCCGCACCAACCCAGGCGTCTGGAACCTTTCCAGGCGGTTGACGATGTCCACGATCCTGTCGACTGCACCAGTAAAGAATGTCCCTCCCTGAGGGTCAGGTTGTTTTGTCCCGGTCCTTCCTAGAAGTCGTAGGCCAGGGCCGGGCGATCGTGGACAGCCGCGAAGGATGGTCGCTTCTTGCTCGTTGGTGGTGGCGGAGCCTCGAAGAAAGACGCTCAAAGTCGGGAGCAACAGTTAATAAAAGCAAATGTATTACAACGTCAACAGCAAACTCGGTTACAAACCTCTACTGTCCGCTCACGGCAGTAGAGATACAAAAAATACCGCGCCTCGGCGCAAAGTGCCCACCGCGCACGGTGAGGCTCAAAGAAACTGTTTGTCGCTCGCGACAAAGCTGCGCGGACCGGCGGACCGCGGGAGATAACTTGCTCCGCGCGCGGGCTTGTTCAAACTCAGCGTTTTCTCGCCAGCGCGGTCGAGAAAACTCCCCGCTGACACAGGGCCTGTCCAATCAGGACGATTATACAATTCTATTGGCCCCAGTGCCAGCGGGTCCTCCACCAATTACAGAAAGGCCACCGAACTCGTCATTTCCCTTTTCTAAGAAGAGAAACAATGCTAGACCACTGGGGGAACTCTCCGATCGGGGCGATACTTTACTACTTTACGGGGAAAACACCTTCCACTCCGCCGCGTCAAAACAAATTGGCGCCGTGTCCTTCGAAGTTAGCGAGTAAAGCGTAATGGAGTCCAGGTGGACCCAGACCGGCGCCCCTCGTCGCTAAAACCTTATTGCAGCAGTCCCCCGACTGCACAAGCCGTCGCTGGAAACGCGCCGTGACGACAAAGTCGCCACTACCTCGTGGCGACAGGCAAGAATGTCTGTCTCCTTCCCGAGCCAAAGATTAAAAAGGGCTCAAGCCACTCATCCCCCTACCCTCGGGGCGAGCCGTCGGGGTGCCCCCATCCGAACGGTTGAAGGTCGATTCACTCAGTTTCCAGGAAACGACAAAATTCTCAAGCGATCCCTACAGCGCATATGGCACATCTTTCGCAATTGGCAGGGCAAAGCCAAGAGACGCGCCGCGGCGCAGACAGCGGCTCTACACGTGCGGATCTCGGAGGAGCAGCTGGCGCTCCAGACTGGGGCAGTGTTCTTCCCGCAGCCTGCGGCTTCACCGGATCCCACCATATACTCCCGAGACTCCGCGACACCGATCCAGATGATCGGAGATTTCCAGGCATTGGATCTCCGAGCACCGGAGCAGGTCGGCATGGACCAACCGTTTCAAATGGACGAACTTCACAAACCATCTCAGAACTGCGCAATCTCCCTGAACTCCACCTCCTGCTTCTCCTTGACGCGATCAACGAGATTTGGACGACGGGCAACTTCCCGAGCTCCTGGCGCGAACCTCTGGTGATACCGATCCAAAAACCGGGCAAGCCACCGAATAGCTCACTAACCTCCGGCCAATTTCCCTTACCAGCAACCTGTGTAAACTCACTGAACGTACGGTCCTCCAGCGACTCATGTGGCATCTCGAGAGGAACTACCTGCTCCACTCACATCAACTAGGATTCCGCCACGGGATGAGGACGCAAGACATTCTCCTTATGTGGCGCCACCAGGCCCTTGACGCCTACTCGAAAGTGCAGACGAGAACGGTGGTGGCGGTGGACGTTGGCAAGGCCTTCGACACCGTCCCTCATGAGGCGGTCATCCAGAGCGCAGAGCTTGCCGTAGTGTGCGGCCACCTTCTCAATTTCGTAAAGAGTTTCCTGAACGGCAGAACGTAC